CCATTTTGTACATACGGTTGAGGCCCTGTTTTGTCCATCCACCCTCTTCCTGAAGGACACGATAAGCTTCTTCCCGTAACTTGTAGACTACATCTGATCCAGCGCTTATGATCTGGCTCAAAATGTCGTAGGCCGTCAATGCTGTAGTGTGAATGCTTGCAAAGTTGAGTGGCAAGATGCGCTTAGCGATGCGGTCAGGTTGCATTTCTTCGTGCCGGCCCTCTTGCTTCGCCGTGCGATAGCACCAGGTGATAAAGTCGTTTGGTTCCTGCCAGTCCTTATATTCAGGATCCCCGGAATCCTTCTTCTCGATCTCTGAAATGCGCTGCTTGACCAGCGGCAAGGTAAACTTCGAAGAGAGCCAGTAGTGGTACTTTGGAGCTAAACTCAACAAAGGTCCAATAATAGGATGCAGGAAGTCCGGAACCACAAGCAGAATAGCCGAGTTTCTGATAACATCCTCGGTGAAGCCCAGTATAGCATCCAAGAACCTTTGGTCATAACATATGGTCTCTCCAACCAGCAAATGATTGGTGAGAAGTGGGATCATATCTATAAACGACTGCAACAAATCCAGCTTTTTCCATTCTTGAGTATCCGTTCCATAAATATTCCGCACAGAATCGGTAGCGTCCTTGGCTAAGCCCGGTATTATCGCGTTAAGATTCTTCACGAGATGTTTGTGAATCACATGCGCATGGTAGGAATCGGTAATTATTGCCGGATCTACGAATGAGTAGTCGCCCCGCAACAAATCATAGTGGGCCGCTTGCGAACTCAGGACATTGTCTGGTTGATCGAACATCCAGCGCAGCTGATCCGGTGGAAGGACAATCTCGGCCGGCATCCCAAGCGTGGAAGGCAACACAAAAGCATTGCCTTTACGGCTGTACTTCTCGTAACCTTGCGATACCCAGTATTTGCTTTCCGTGACGGCGATAAAGTTGCGAAGATCGGCAATCCAGCTTTTTCCGTAGCCCACCCATGGTAAACTGTTGGGTGGCCTTGGGGCTGTGACGAAGCCGTAGATAGTTGTACAGACCCAGTACGTGATAACTGCGGTAGCGATATGGTAAAACGTGAATACGGATGTCGATTCGGTTGCGTCAGATGCCATTGTGCGAGATCGGAGGGGGAATGGAATTCGAATTGAAGAGGGAAAAGACAGGCCGTGACATGGCACTAGATATACGTCGGTTGGCAATGTCTTGGGCATACTTTACCGAGCGTATAGACCGTATATTAGACGCAATCGCTACGTGTTGCCTCTTGCTGATGATCGTCACGACCGGCGCTACCGAAACAAACGCTTGGTCTACGAGACATGTACATGCAAAGCATTAGCCTTAAGCCTATTGGACTACCAGTAATACGTAGCGTTTGTAGGATTGGCTGATCTTCTACACGGCCCTCTGGGTGCACCAAGAGAGCTCCTCGTCGGCACTGGGTATCTTCGGATCTGTGACTTCCGGTAGTCAGCCGAGGCCGGCAACGTCTTCTTCCGCATTCCCTCTTCGAAAAACAACGAAGCAGACCCGCTAAGTGCTGAACGCCTGAGTTATTGATAGTTTGCGCGACCCATCACGTTGCGTTTCCAAGACAATACTGACCACTAGTTATACTATCGTTGTGCGCATACAGTACGGTCATCATCTAGGCTCGGTAACACCAGCAATACACATCTCTAACAAGATCACACCGAAGTATGGCCAAGCGAGGATGTCGTACTCAAACACCTGCATTCAGCACCAGCAGAAGTCTCAAGGAGCTAACGACGCTACCCGGGTATCAATGTCCGGACAACCCGCTCAATACGAGCACACCTTGGCTGCCTCCATGCTGAGATGGCAATAATAGGGCCGGGTTCGTATCTTTTCGCCGCAACCGAGCTGGGCGTTGTATCGCTAATGGACCTGAGTGCGACGTACAATGACGAGCGCAGATTGAGATGGACACAACAACGGCTCGCTTGGAATGGCTGCAGACGAGTGATGTAAAAATGATAACGCGGAGATATGACCGTTTTCCAAGAGACCTGAGTAACACCAGATCAGCAGCCACTTTCCACGAAATGGACCCCGATGGGCCGTATATTTTACCCATGTTTTCTGCTGTTCTGGATGTCTATTTTTAACCGGGTTGCAGTGGTGGTACTCGTTCTCACGGTTGCCTGAGTTAGGTGGACTGGCTTCAATCTTCACAGAGAGAAGACATCTCTTTGCTTTAGGGCACCGCTCCAAGAACATAAGTGCCGAGATGAAGTGAGGAAGAAACTCTCTGTGCGAGAGGAAGTGACGGGGTTGCCCAAGTGTCATCTTCGCTTTACGGTATGTATACGGTTTACGGTTTACGGTTTAGTTAAGCGAAGCGCGCACGGACATCCACATTGCACCGTTGCGGCCCGCCCGGAAACACTAACACTCCAACATTGTTGCATGTATAGTTCCTGCCGGCATGAGAACGTGCACTAAAATCTTCGCTGGATCTCCTTCGCCACAAAATACTCAGTGAAATGTAAGAGGACGCGCGCAGAAATCTTCGCCAAAAAGGGTCTCAAGCGGTATGACCGAGTCCTAATATTAGGTTGCGCAACGACATGACACTGAGCATTATGCCAACGACCGGCTTGATTTCGCGCATGTTGATGAATGCAGTATAGATAAGATGGTGGACCCGGAGGTTTTCGATGACATTGAATTATGCCACTGACCAAGAACTATTCGGGCGTCATCCTTGGGTAGTTGCGGCTCGATATATCCTACTCTTTGGTCAATCTATACTGAATGGCTAGAATATGGGATGAACCTCATTATGAGATCGTTTCGGGCTAGACTAGACTGGACCTAGTACTATAGTACAGTATGTAGTAGTGAATGGCTGCGGAGCCACGAGTCATGTCGACTGTCACAACGTCCAGTGACTAATTAAGTAAACTACAGTTTGGACTTAGCTAATGTCGAACATCGTGCCAACTATCACATTGTACAGCGTCATCAAATAGTTGACAGTATAAATTCTGATATTCTTCAATCCGTTGCAATCTCATCAACAAAGGCCCTATCGTAGAATTCGGGACAGAATATTTCTGTAACATGTCGGTGCGTCTTATCCCAGGCCCTCCGCGATGCCCCGGAGGAACTTCCACATATGCTTGGTCGTCTCGCCGTCGGCTTCAGCTCTGAGCAATTTGCGGTTGAGATGCTGGAATACCAGTAGCCCATGTGACATGGAAGGGGTGGTGATATGTCTGTGTAGACTATGCAGCGAATCTCAGCTGGGAGGTGTTGAAAGCTAGTCATGGCGGGCGCGTTTGATGTAGTGGAAAGAGAGATTTGAGCCAAGGAGGTTGTAAGGAGCGCCTCAGAAGCTTACGTTATTTATTTGCTGCTATAATTGAGGCTCGGGTCTGTTGGTGTGGGGTGGAAGAGCAGACTATTTGTGATAGTTATGTACCTGATGGGCACAAGGGTGTCCGTGCCCTGTTCGAACTAGGAGGGAATGCTATGCAGAGCTATCAGTCAACAACCCGAAGATACGTGCGACTAGATGTCTAAATAGATGCGAGTAGCTTGATAGTAGCAAGCATTGGGTACGGAATTGCCGCTTCGATAGCTTGACCTTTGCTACGGTCGTGTGATGTTTTCATGTTAATCTCAACAAGCTGGCGTTCAACTCCTTTACGGCGCAGGAAGCTCATGTGTAATACCATTCTTCTCACGCATGTGCTTTGTTTTGCGAATGACTTTTGGGATTGGCGGGCGTGGAGTGTGGAGGAAGTGCTGTTTACGGCGGGGTGGGAGTGGAGAGGGGGTGGGGGTATGGAAGTTACGGTATTATGGGTATGTTGGGTTTGTTAGTTGGGTTCGTTGAGGGATGAGGGGAGAAACCCTTTATTGGAAGGGGTTCACGGATGGGCTTGTTGTGTTGGCGTCCGCCATGTGGGAGGATGTGGTTACTTAGGATGTGGGATTCATGACTCTGTGGGTATGCGTAAGGCGGTGGGGTGGTGGGGAGATTCTTGATTGTTTCTCACAACTAGGAGGGAGGAGAGTGTGAGTGAGCAAGAATAGGGGTGGATGTACTGAGAATTGATAGAGGTGGAGTTTTGGCTATATTGGAATAAATCGACGGTTGACTTCCGTACTTTAGATTTTAGGATCTTATCCTACTTCTCCATCCTTCAGCTTTATCCTCTCTTCTCGTTGTTGCTCGCAGACTGCCTACCGCGTTGATTCAGTATGCGGTACATACTGAATGTTCCTGGGGGCAACTGCTTGCATCTCGACACCGCTATGCTCTCAGCTCGAGCCAAGTTACCATAGCAGCGGGCATCAATGGGTATACATGGTCATCCTGCGTCGTACCAGAGGGCACTCGCATCAATGAAGTCGCTCCCAACACACTGATTGAATGAGTACCATGATACGTAAATAGACGCCCAGCATGCGTACACCATAGATATTTACCCATCCATGATTGTAGTAGGGACCCCCAAACGCCGCGGCTATGCATCAAGAAACGAAAAAAAGGGAGCGGTTCAAAGTTTACGCGTAAACTACCGTCTTCCTTTTCCTTGTCCAGCACCACCGGCACCAGCGCCGCCACCCATACCTCCCATGCCACCCATCATCTTCATCATCGCGCCCATGTCCATGCCGCCCATGCCGCCCATGCCACCCATGTTAGCGAGTGCTGACATATCCGGCATGCCGCCACCGCCTCCTCGTCCACCACCGAGCATCTTCATCATGGCACCGAGATCGGGCATGCCGCCGCCGCCACCGGCTCCACCCATGCTCTGCATGCGCTTTTGCATAGCTGCGAGTTGTTGTTGCTTGTTACCTCCGCCCATGGCGCCTTGTGCTTTTTGCATGGATGCCATGCCACCCTTCATCTTCTTCGCCATGCCGGCCATCATGCGGTGTTGGGTGAGCAGTTCCTCGACTTCGCGGACCGAGGTTCCTGAGCCACGGGCTATGCGCGTCATTCGTGTGGGTTGGTCGACAAACATCTTGCCATCGGATTCTAGTTCCTTCTCGGTCATGCTATCGCAGATGTAGATCATGCGCTTGAGCTTCATACCGCCCTCTTCATCGTCCATGCCCCCCATCATACTTCCCAGTCCAGGGATCATACCAGCCATCTTCGATAATGGTCCCATCTTCATGATGTTGGAGAGCTGGTCGCGAAGGTCCTTGATGGTGAAAATTCCTTGTGTGATATGCTTCATCGTATCCTTCTGATCGAGTTTCAATGATTGTACGTGCTCGACAAGACCTTGGACATCGCCCATACCGAGCAGTTTCGATACGAAAGCTTGTGGCGCAAAACGCTCCAGATCTAACATGTGCTCGCCATTACCGAGGAAGACGATGGGTGTATGTGTGGCTGCAACGGCAGATATGGCACCACCTCCGGCTGCGGCACCGTCTGTCTTGGTGATGATGATTGCTCCGAAATCCGCGGCCTCCTTGAATGCGCGCGCTTGCGACTCTGCAGCCTGACCGATGGTTCCGTCCAATACCATGATAGTTTGGTCGGTGTGACTACGTTCTGAATTTGCACCATCTCGTCGAAGAGGTCCTTTTCTTGCCTGTGTCGTCCCGAGGTATCCACAATGATAATCTCGAAGCGCTCCTTCTTGAACTTCTCCACACCTTCGCCAGCTACCACAACGGGGTCCGTCTGGGTATGGCTACCGTAGTATGGGATCTTCGCCTTGGTCGCATTTTGCTTCAGTTGGTCAAAGGCACCAGCACGGAAAGTATCGGCGCACACCAAACAGGCCTTGAAACCTCGTGCCTGATACCATCTCGCCAACTTTGTACATGTCGTCGTCTTTCCCGCACCCTGTAGACCCACAAACATGATGACGTTCGATTTTCCCTTGCGCGGCTTGAAGGGTTCGGCGTGCGGATCGACCATTTTGACGAGTTCATCGAACACAGCCTTCTGGATGAGGCGCTTCTTGTTCACTCCCGGCGCGAGGTGCTTGAAGTCAACGGTTCGCTTGATCGACTGTCGCAAGTTCATTACGAGTTTTACGTTCACGTCGGCTTCAACCAGAGCGTTGGAGATCTCTTTCACCATGGCATCAAAGGCCTGCGCATGTTAGCCACCTGTTCATACGCATATGCCGTGAATGCGCACCTTCTCGTCAAGGTTGGGCGACCTCGTGAGGTCTGTGACGGCGGCATTGATGCGCCGCCCGAGGTCTTGAAGCACCATAGCGGCGGTTGTATAGGGAAATTAAATGTTGACGCGAAAGGGTGCAGGTTGAGGGTTGCGTCTCTCGTGGTGTTCTGTGGGGAATCCAGTATGGCGGGGCGCGCTTGCCCTGGCCGTCGGTGATTTGGGTCACTAACGCCGATGACCTGGAACTTTTTTCTGCGACACGGTCCTCATCCATTCACATCACCATATTTTCCGCTACAATGGTAAACACATCGCTCAAAAGAAGACGGACCGAGGACCAATTGCGCGGCAAGGTGCCCAAGAAGGAGAAGAGAAAGGTCAAGAAGCAGAAGCACTACCACAGTTCAAGCGACTCAGAAGAAGGCGCCGCGCGCGATGCTCCAGCACGTGGGAGCAGTCTGGAGCCAGAAGAGCCATTTCAGCCTTCGGGAGCCAATGCGACACTACCCGGAAAGTCTGAACCGTCAAAGCAACAGCTGAGGAAGCAGGCCAAGTTTGAGGCGAAGAAAGCAGCCCAACAAGCCGCAGCAGCAGAGGAATCATCCGCCAGCGACGATGAAGACGTTCCCGCAGTCGCATCGAAAAAGTCAGAGCCCAAGTTCAAGGCTAGCATACCGGCAAAAGCGCCTGCAAAGTCTGTGCTGAAGAAAACTGCACCCGTCGACCACGAAGCGCCCCTACCCAGCGACGCCGAAGATGATTCAGACGACTCTGAGCCCGAGGCCGACGAGTTTTCCATTGCCGACTCCGAATCAGATGCCTCAGATACATCAACCGTAGCCGAGCGCAAAGTACGGAAACGCAACGACCCTGAAGCCTTCGCAAACTCCATCTCCAGAATCTTGGGCTCGAAACTTACAACATCAAAACGTTCAGAACCTATTCTCTCCCGTAGTAAAGACGCAGCAACTGCGAATCGCGAACTCGCCGATTCCAAGCTCACAGAAAAGGCGCGTCGACAAGTCGTAGCTGAGCGCAAAGCAGCAAAGGACAAGGGGCGTGTGAGGGATGTGCTTGGGCTGCACGACCCAGACGTCAGCACTGCGGTTACTTCAGCAAAGGAGAAAGAGCTGAGACGGACAGCACAAAAGGGTGTCATCAAGCTCTTCAATGCCGTGAGAGCGGCCCAGGTCAAGGGCGAACAGGCAGAGCGAGAGAGCAAGGCGGGCCAGGTAGTTGGTATGGACAAGAGGGAGGAAAAGGTCAAGGAAATGAGCAAGCAGGGCTTCCTGGATATGATTACCGGAGGACAAAAGAAGGAGGGTAGCGTGGAGGCATGATTCGTTCGGACGAGTAACAAAAGTGGGGTGTTATGTTCGTGATACCATATACTGTACATGTTTTCGTCTCATGCTCAACGCCTGTCTATGTGCAAGCGGAGTGGTCGTATAATACATGCATCGTACCAAATGCTGCGTATGATATCATCATCAACTATACCGCCCAGCATTACATCCTCGGTGCGCGCAGACTTGTGACCACTACATTTGTCCCTGACCTTCACATGGCACACTCTTATTTGCTCGCAAAGTCGCTCGCCTGCAGGTTTCTTGTCATGCTCGGTAGTCGCACAACAAGCCCATCGAGCTCCTTGTTCATCTTGACCTGGCAGCCTAGCCGACTAGTCTCAGTAAGACCAAAGGCGAGATCCAACATGTCGTTCTCATCATCATCTGGCTCTTCCATCTTGTCGTAATAGGCTTCGTCTTCTACAATGACGTGACATGTGGAGCATGCGCAAGATCCTCCGCAGGCCCCTTCCATTTCTATATCGTTGGCAAGCGCGATGTCGAGTAGGTTGTCGCCGTCTGCGACTTCGAAGGTTGAGGCTTGGCCATCCTTGTCTATGAAGGTGATTTTTCGTCTGATGTTGTCAGCGATCAAACGGATACCGGAAGGCGCATGGGACGCACTCTTCACCGGGCTTTGGGGGGTCGAGATGCCCGTGCCGGGCTACTGGGGTAGAAGAAAAGTGTCGGCGGTTCCGCAACCATGAGGGGCTCGCTGGCTTGAGAAGGCTCGGTCTTGATATATCAGGCAGTGTCGTACTCTGTGTGCGCATCGACCTCTGGCACATCGCGACCGCCCAATTGCTCTTGCCTATGCGTCGCCCCGACCATATGCCTTTTGCGCCCGCTATCCGCCCCTCCACCACATTCAGGCAAGCTCGTGTCGCAGCCATTTCCGGCCTGGTGTACTCGTCGAACCAGTGAAGATTCTAGCGAAAAAGGAGAAAGTGCGCAAGAGCGAGAAATTGGCAGTGTTTGCACGTGTCACGAAATGTCAAACCGCCGATAATTCCGATTGCTGTGAGACGTCAGGAAATGTTGGAGCACGGGCCTCTGCATACCCCGGTCCATGTTGAAAGCGCATCGCTCCGAGGGAAAATAGTATCATCACCAGCCTCACTGTTTCCCAATCTAGCGGGGTAAGTTTTTATACCACAGTCATGGCAACCTCGCGCGATGCTCCAAATCCCCTACGGCCCTACTACATTCCACCGTCTATTGGCCTGCCGGTAGATGTCCCGCAGAACCAGACGGCCTCTGCACTTCCGCCCGCCTACAAACCATCCAACAGCAGTAAATCAAGTCTGGGGAGTCAGGCACGCGACATTCTCTCCGACCTCGACTATGACTCGTACTTTCCAGAGAGCTCGCCTACGATAGCCGGGCACGCGAAGAAGCTGCTCGACCACGCACTGTGGAATTACACGAGCGTACTGCTTGCCCAACCTTTTGAGGTCGCCAAGACGATACTCCAGATTCAAGAGGCAAAGGAACAGTTGTCGGGGCTAAAGGGAGATAGCGACTTTGGCCATAAGAGTAGACCGGAGAGTTATTCGAGCGGGAAATTCGAGGATGTATGTATTGTGTTGTGGTGAGGTGAATTGGCATGTGAATGAGGGCTAATGGATAGATGCAGTATCCGCCCTCTGACGAATCGGATGAGGACTCGCCCAGCTACTTCACATCGACTGCGCCGCGCGCAACTCCCTCAGCGTCTCCATACTCACCTGCCGTCTCACGATCGCGGTCCCCACGGAAGCGCCAAAGACATGTTGACAGCCAGTCACGCTCTCGGACGCCAACGCGACCGCCCCCACCTGCCCTCCGCAAACTAGACCTCAAGCGAGCAGACTCCCTCCTTGAAGTCATAGGACAACTATGGCAAAAGGAATCAGCATGGGGTGTATGGAAGGCCACAAATTGCACTTTCATTTACAACTTCCTCCTCAAGACAACCGAGGGCTGGTTTAGGAGTCTTATCTCCGCCCTGTTGAACATACCAGACCCAGGTCTTGTGGGCTCAGCAGGAAGCGGGATAGGAGGGCTGGATATACTAGACAGCCCTAGCCCCCTGACCTCCCTCGGCGTCGCCGTCGCCGCAACTGCCATCGCAGCTACCCTCCTCGCACCCCTCGACATGGTGCGCACACGCCTCATCATCACCCCCATATCCTCCTCGCCACGATCCATATACCCATGTCTCTCCCTCCTCCCGTCCTTCTCCGTCACCCCCAGCCTCCTACCGGCAACCATACTGCACGCCTGCGTGCCAACGCTCATCTCCTCCTCCACACCCCTCTTCCTCCGCTCCACCCTCAGTATCGACCCCATCCTCACACCCGCCACCTACTCATTCAGCACATTCCTCTCCTCCACAGCCGAACTCTTCATCCGTCTGCCCCTCGAAACAGTCCTCCGCCGCGGCCAAGTCGCCACCCTCCAAGACCACGAGACTCAGCGTCTCGCTTCAGAGTACAAATCCCCGCCTAGCCGCGGCAAGAGCCCGGCTTACGGTCTAGACAAGTCGTCGAGCTCTGAGACGAGCTTCAAGACTATTGTCGAGCCCGGTCAGTATAGGGGCGTGCTTGGCACAATGTGGTTTATTGCTCGCGAAGAAGGTATTACCATTGAGGGACCTAATGCGGCAAAGGCTGCGAGTGCAAAGGCTATGGGCTTTTCGCGACCGCCGCGTACAAAGAAGGGGCAGGGTGTTCATGGCTTGTGGAGGGGGTGGAGAGTGGGTATTTGGGGGCTTGTTGGTATTTGGGGTGCGGCTGCCTTGGGTGGAGGTGGTGGTGAATTTTAGACTAAATTCTTGAGGTGACTAGATGATGGGATGCGGGTTTGATGAAAAGCACCGCAAGCGTCGAGTTCTTCTTTGTTTTCTTCGTTTCAGTACATGCGGAGTTCTAGTTTTTTGGTTATTGATATCCATGGTTGCGTCTACTCCTCACTCTTGTTGTGTTTGGTGGGGCGATATATACATGTTGACGAGATTCATGTTAGACGAAAAAAGAAAATATAGACTCAGCTACACCAAGGCTTCTCTCATGAAGAAAAGATGGGTATCATCTATGCCATCTCACCCCTTCCTCTCCCCAAACTCAAACCCCAACTCCCGCACATCCCTAACCTCCCTCCTCTCTTCCCCTCTCTCCCCAAATCTCCGCCTAATCTCCGGGAAATTCTCTCTACACTTGAACTCCCACTCCCCCCAAACAGGCGGACACTTGCCCTTCCCCGCGTTCTCCAACCCGTCTTTGCCTTCCGCGCTCATCGCCCACTGACTCATTTCATTGATATACTGTGCGTCCTTTGGGAACGGTAGCAGGTGGAAATTGCGTCCTTGACCCATTTCCGCTTCTACTTCTTCCTGCCATGCTTGCATGGTAGCCGTGGGGGGTAAAGTAAGACGACCTGCGTAAACCCGCGCCACAACAGCCGCCTGTGCCTCCGCCAGCGGAAACGGGATAACCCTCTGCGGCAGCGCTAGAAAGCAAAGAGTTGGTCTCACCGCGTTGAAAAGGTGTTTATACGTCCCCTCGACCCTCTCACCACTCGTAATCAGCTTCGGTTCAACCCCGTTTAGAAAAGGTAAGCTGTAGAAATACCCCGTCGCAAACACCACAGCATCAATATCGTGTTCCATACTACCGTCTGCAAACTGCACGCCCCGTGTGTCTGGCAGGAACCGCGCAATGGGTGGCACAGGACGCCGAGTGGGATCTTCAGCGCTGGCGCTGCCGTGTGTGGCACTGAACAGCGAGGTTGAGCGTGTAGACCAGAGAAGTGGTTGTGGACAATGTGAAGATATTTGTTTCGAGAGATCAGCGCCAGAAGCGGAGTTTCCAATAACAATTGTTTTCTTGGCTGTGAAATCCGTGGGTCGGCGGTAGTATTTCGAGTGTGTGATGAGGCCGGGGTGTTGGGAGGACCATTCCGATATACCTGGTATGGAGGGGATGTGTGGGACGATGAAATGCCCGTTTGCGATTATGACGGCAGAGTAGGTTGATGTGATTGTTTCGTTGGTGAGGAGGTTGAGTGTTGTGATGGTCCAGGTTGTAGTGGGGGAGGAGGGGGTGGTCGGGGTTATGGAGGTGACTTGGGTGTTGTAGTGGATGTTTTCTTGGACGGGGGATGTGTAGTCTTGGATATATTTCAACACGGTGTCGTGCGTGGGGAAGAGTTGGGAGTCAGAGGGCCAGTCGAGGTCTTGGAAGCCCATTAATCCGCGCGGGATGTTCGTTTCGAGTTGTTCGTACATAGGGGATAGGAAGGAGGGGACTTTGGAGGTGCCATTGATGCTGTTGGTGTGGTTGTTTTCGCTGGATATAGTATCTTTTGGTTTCCATTCGGGCTCTTGCACACCTGGTTCGGGATTTTCTTGTGGTATGCTGAAGAGGTTTTCGTCTCGTTGGTCACCCGTGTATGTCCATATTCCACCCGCTTGACTGCGTTGTTCGAAAAGATCAATCTTATCAAACGCTTTTTCTGCACGTAGATATTTCGCTGCTATCACACCTGATGGTCCTGCGCCTACTACGGCTACTGTCCTAGCTCTTATAGATATCCTCTCGTTTTCAGTCATGGTGGGGTGCTCAAGTTTGGAGTGGAAGGTACTGAAGCAACGTGATCTAAGCAGAAAACAGTTGTGTGAGAAGAATATACGAAATCGTTTTATAGGGTATCTTGAAAACGCGGAAAAGGACATGCAAAAGAAAACAAAGTCGATCTCGGTGCGATGACGGCGTGATGGGGTTTCGCCAAACAGAGGATAGCTCGGGGCTCATCGGAACGAGCTCGGAATGATGCGGGGCTACCTACATGGATGATGGGTGATCGACCTCAGGCTGCAGCTTCATAAAGTTTATGACGGCGACCTTGGGATTACGTGTATCGCCGCATTAAGCCCATATTAATCGTGCCATTTCTTCTTAAATCACTCATTACCTTCTGTCTCTTTGACCTGAATCCTCAGCAGACTGCGACTTGAGCCCCTCAACATCAACACCTAGAGTTCCTCAGACCTCTTCAACCCAAAATACAGCCATGGCTTCCTTACGCATCGGCTTTGTGCCTGGTAAGTCAGCCACTTGCGGCACTATAGATAGTGCTGACAGCTGTAGAACACTTTTCAACCCCACTTGAATTTGCGAAGCAGTACTTTGGCCTGGAGGCACAGCTCCTCCCATACCCCTCAGGTACTGGCCACATGGTGACAGCCATCCAAGCTGGTGAAATTGACATTGGCGTTGGTCTTACCGAAGGCTGGATTGCAGCCATCGGAAAAGCCCAGGCAGCCAAGCAAGACGCTGGCTTCAGTGTGGTCGGTACCTACGTTGAGACGCCACTATGCTGGGCCATCTCTACCGGAGCAAAGAGGGAGTTGGAAGGAATCAAAGATCTAAAGGGCAAGAAAGTTGGTGTTTCAAGGATTGGCAGTGGCAGCTATGTCATGAGCTTTGTCCTTGCCGACCAACAAGGTTGGTTGGACACTTCATCTGGCAACCCGCCCTTTCCAGTCGAAGTCCTAAACACCTTTGCCAATCTCCGCGACGGTGTCAACAACAGTACCGCCGACTTCTTCATGTGGGAGCACTTTACCTCGAAGAAGTACTACGACAACGGGGAGATCAAGCGCATCGGCGAGATCTACACGCCCTGGTCGTCGTGGAAGATCGTCGCTGCCAACAAACTTTTGCAACCAAAGAATGGCAGCAACTCCCCACTCACCCCTGAGCTGGAAGATGTCTTGGACAAGATCAACAAGGGTGTCAAGCACTTTGAGGCAAACCAGGAAGAGGCCGTGAAATACATTAGCACCAAGCTCGATTACTCGGAGGAGGATGCGAGGGAGTGGCTGAAGACTGTTCGCTTTGCCAAGGACGTCAAGGGCGTGGAGAAACAGGTTGTTGATAAGACTGTGGGAATCTTGCAGAAGGCTGGCGTCTTGGGTGCCGAGGTCGATACACCGGCCATGATCGGACTCGAGCGTGCACCGCAGTGACTATAGGGTGGTCATACCGCGAACATAATGCGGGACCTAGTCGACGGTCCGTCCACGCATCTGGAATCACGGACAGTGACTATCTGCGAGCGCTATGAACCAGATCGGCAATCACTGCTCGCATTGTGGCGTCACCTAAACAATGGGTCACCGTGCTTTTTCTAGTGAATGTAGCTGCACGTCCATGCTTGAATCACCCTCTACAATCGAATACGAACCATTTATACCTTTGTCTTTGACTGTGCCTGTGGTTTGTCTTCACTTCATGGACTGTATATCACAAGACTCCCCTGTTTCCTCTTTGTCCCTAATTCCAGAACACCACGACTTTGCACCGGATAAAGCTTAGATACTGAGCTACGTGTAGAAGCGCATACACACTGCGAATAATTCAAGGCTGCATATCTGTTCGTAATCCTAGATCAGCGATGCCTAAGAGTGGCCAGAAAGAGCTGGAGCTGTCCTTCATCGATCAACAGCCGCATATCCGCGTCTACGGTCGTTACTACGTCATCTTTCCTTTCCCAGGCCGCAAAATCGAGAATGCCGCCATCAACGCGCTTAGAACTGGATTTAAGGAGGTTTTGAGAAGATATCCATATCTTGCAGGCACAGTGGACATGCCTGATGCTTCCTCGGGACAGCTCCGAGTTCTCTACCCTGACCCTATCAACAATATAGACAAAGAAGCAGAACGGGTATTCACGGCCAGCAACTATTCTGCCAAGGATCCAACGTTCGATTACAACAAGCTCCAGAAAGATTCATTCCTGCCAGAAGACCTTCCAGCCAAAGTCTTCTGCCCGAAGCTGGTCAAATATCACCCCGGACTAGATGACGGTGACCCTTTCGCAGAACACGCTACTAGTATGCGCAAGGGACCTTTGCCAGTCTTCGCCACACAAGCCTCGTTCATTCCGAAAGGTCTAGTCCTCAGTGTATGGTTCTATCATGCAGTCACTGATGGCAATGGCAACGCAAGGATCCTAGAAGTCTGGAGCAACGCCGTCAG